AGACGTTCTTACATTGGACTAAAGGGTCCTATAAAAATGTGTGTCAATCAGTGTAGAAAAAGTTAGTAAATTAAAGTCCTGTCTATGGTCAGGATTAATCACATCCCATTAGTGCTCTGATATATGTCAATGTGGATCCTTAAAGCAGAACAAAAGGGGCAAATACTCAACTAAGCTACAACGCCCTTGAGGTCTCTCACCAGCTCTCTTCTCCTTGGGTTCTTCCAGGTGCCAATCTGCAGCTGTTTTGATTGGACAGCACAGGATGATGTTATTCCCGCACATACTGGCAGTGTGCCGGATTGTAAACTGAGCTGCACATGCACAGCTCAGTGTGCATTCTGCAGAGGATTGTGAACAGACAGGTAAATGTACTTTATTGCAAAATACATATTTCATGTATCTTCTGCAACAAAAAGTCTGCCTACTTGCAGTTTTTCTATTTTTGCCTACAGTTCCACTTTAAGGCTGCCATACACGGCTTGACATTAGGTAGCTTCCTGCTGGATCAGAGGAAATTCATTTATTGGATGGCCCCTTGGCACCACCCAGTTCAACCAAAGTTGACTGTTTACCCCACACTCCATTGTTCAAGGTTAGCTGGCAATTAAAATCTTTCCAAACACAGAAGGGGTGCCAGGCAAACTCACCGCTGTACATTCACAAACGAAGGAGTTGGATTGCTGCACTCCCTTATTCTTCAGAGCAATTCTTTATTAGCTCAAAAGCAGTAAAACTGAGAGGTACTCCCCTCTGATCTAATAAAGAGTTGCTCTGAAGAATAAGGGAGTGCAGCTATCCGGATTCTTTATTCATGAAAGTTGACTGTTTAATCAACTTTTGTAGAAGGAAGTTGGTGGAAATTTGTCAGCTATATAGTACCTGAATCTAATCAACTGCAGCTGTTGTTTGCGTATTCTGACAGGTACAGGTCTTGGCTGTCAAAATACAGTAGCTGACACTGCAGATTTGTCCATCCACAATGCTTAGCATTGATGGGGAATTGAGTGATTTCTCTTATTCAGCTGGCAACACTGAGCAAGAGAAATCTTAACGTGTATGACCAGCTTTACTCTGGACAAGACTAATATGCATATAAATAGGTGGAGATTTATACCCTATGCAGCCATCCATGACAAAAATGTGATTTTCAGATCACATTAACACATTGAAACCAATACAATATCACCTTTCAACAGACTCTGTCACTACTTCACATCTGTAGTATAGGCAAGAATCATACTTGCTACTGGTCCCTCTGGTGATAGAAACTTTACTGCTTTGACATAGTTACAGGTGCCACTAGAATCACTTAAATCTGACACTTCCGGTTGTGTCAGGTGTTTTTATTTCACTAGCATACTAGCAACACAACCTTGCACTTTAAAGTGGCAATAAACCCAACAACTTAACAGTTTTACAAAACAGTTACATTTAAGGCATGCTGTGAATAATAACTGTCACAGTTGATTGTACGCTCAACTGATCTGTCAAGCCATAAAATAGCTGATGTCATAACTGATCACATGTACAGCACCATGGCACATGGAGATCAAACAAAGGCTAAGATGGCAGCATCCTCGGTTGTATAGGATTGGAGGGTTTAATACCGCTTTAACTGACTGCACAAAAGCTGCAGAGTCAGGCTGGTGCTGTAGCAGGCACAAGTGAGGAATACCGGAGACACAGGGATCGGACTCACTTGGAAGTATCATATTTGGATGATCCTAGTGATGGTGATAAATCTGCCAAACATAAGAGTCTGAACTACCAGAGGGGCCAGGAATGAGCATGATGGTCTCAGTGGCACACAGAAGCAGTGACAAGGGGGGTTATTTACTAAAATGAGAGTGCAAATCTGGTGCAGCTTTTCACAGAAACCAGTTCCCACATTTTATTTTCAGAGATTACATAAACAAGCTGAAGTTAGAAGCTTATTGGCTACCAAGCACGGCTGCACCAGATTCTGAGTGCTCCAGTTTTAGTAAATCTACCCCAAGGTCTATTTCACTGATTAGTGAACTGAATTCTTTTAACAGGTGACTGTACTTTTTCACTGTTATATGAAAGAATTGGTTTAGTGTCGATGTATGCCCTTGCCTGAGACAAGGTAAAGTGATTGCAGTTAGTGCAAAGAAGGAATGTGCTGTGAAACACTAGACAACTGACCACACTGACTCCTATTTCATCACAGCTCATCAGTCTGTGCTTAGGATAGACAGTGCACAAACCATTATAAACAATGGCACCCACCAGCCTGTGCTCAGGATAGTCATTGCAGAGACCTTTATCAATAGGAGGCACCCATCAGCCTGAGCTGAGGATAGTAAGTGATAGAAGCATTGTAAATCGGGAGCATACATCAGCCTTTGTCCTGGATAGTCATTGTATAGACCACTGTAAACAAGGGTCACCCATCAGCCTGAGCGAAGGATAGACAAAGCACAGATCATGGTGAACAATTGCACCCATCAGCAGCATGCATCCAGGATAGCCATAGTATTGATCACTGTAAATAAGGGCCACCCATCAGTCTAAGCTGAGGATAGTCATGGCACAAACCACTGTGAACAATGGCACCCATCAGCATGCGTCCAGGATAGTCATTGGGGTTGATTTAGCAAAGGCAAATAGAATGTGCACTTTGCAAGTGCAGTTGCACTCTGCAGGAGAATATACCCCAGGGCGTAGTAAAATGAGCTGAATTGCAAAGAATACCCAATCACAAGCAAAGAAAAAAAAACCCAGAATTTTTGCTTGTGCATGATTGGATGATGGAAGTCAGCAGAGCTTTCCCTCATTTACTAAACTCTGGAGCAAATTCCCTTTCAAAGTGCAACTGCACAGTCTATTTCCCTTCAGTAAATCAACCCTATTGTAAATTGGCAGCACCTATCATCCTGTGCTCAGGATATCCTAGCATAGATCACCCATCAGTTGTGCTCAAGACAGTCCTTGTAAAGATCTTAGTAAATAATGACACCCATCATCCTGAGCTGAGGATAGTTGTGGTAGAGTTCACTGTAATCAATGGCACCCACCAGCCTGCATGCAGGATAGTCACTGTAGAGATACTGAATACAACAGCCAAGCTCTACGTCTGATGATGCTGTCTGTGGCTGAAGACCAATGCTCATGGCTGGGATGTACAGTCACTTGGCAATGAATGTTGATAGATGTAAGCCGGCAACTCAGTGTACTCAATATGTCTTTATTGGCTACATAGGGTACACACAGTAAAACACTGCTAAAGCGTTCCGTCTGCAGAAGCCTTACTCATAGCATGGTAAACCACAAAACATTTATGGGTTCCAAAATCTACTGCCAGACCAACTAAGGAGACAGGACCCAATAATTAAAATCATCAGTGGAATAACAAACAGGAAAACACTAGACTTGTGATGATAAACATATATACTAATGGATACAAAGAATGAAAACATGTCTTACATCTATGGTTTATTCAGACAGTGATATAATACATGTTTTCATTATTTGTATCCATAAATGTTGTATTTAATGTTTTAACATGCTATGAGTAAAGCTACTGAGGCTCAAACGTGTTAGCAGCTTTTTACTGTGTGTAACCTATGTAGCCAGTAAAGAATTATGTTTGAGTACACAAAATTGCAGGCATACCATCATCCTGTGCTGAAGATAGTCATAGCAGAGATCACTGTAAATATGGGGCACCCATCAGCCTGTGCTCAGGATAGTCCTAGTAGAGACCTTTGTAATAAAGGTCACCCATCACCCTGTGCTGTGGATAGTCATAGCAGGGATTGCTGTAATCAATAGCACCCACCATCCTGTGCTGAGGATAGTCATAGAAGGGTTCACTTTAATCAATGGCACCCATCATCCTCTGCCAAGGATAGTCACAGCAGAGATCACTGTAATATGGGGCACCCATCATCCAATACCAAGGAAAGTCATAGCAGAGATAGCTGTAATCAATGGCACCTATCATCCAAATGCTGAGGATAGTCATAGAAAGGATCACTTTAATCAATGGCACTCATCATTCTGTGCTGAAGATAGTCCTTGCAGAGATCACTGTAAATAGAGGGCACCCATCACCAAGTACTGAGGATAGTACTTTCAGAGACCTTAGTAAATAATACACCATCACCTGGTGCTGAGGATGGACATGGCAGAAGTCATTGTAAATAGGGGGCACCATCACCTAGTGCTAAGGATGGTAATGGTAGAGGTCAATGTAAATAGGGGGCACCTATAACCCCGTGCTAAGGATGGTCATGGCAGAGACCTTAGTAAATAATAGGCACCTGTCACCTTTTGCTGAGGGTGGTCATGGCACAGATCAGTGTAAATAGGGGCACCTGTCATCCTGTGCCCAAGATAGTCATAGCAAGTATCACTTTAAACAATGGCACCCATCACCCCGTACTGAGGATAATAATACTTGCAGAGAACTTTGTAAATAATAGGCACCCATCATCTGGTGCTGAGGATGGTAATGGTAGAGGTCAATGTAAATAGGGGGCACCTATAACCCAGTACTAAGGATGGTCATGGCAGAGACCTTAGTATATAATAGGCACCTGTCACCGGGTAATGAGAATGGTCATGGCACAGATCACTGTAAATAGGGGGCACCCATCATCCTGCGCTGAAGATAGTCATAGCAAGAATCACTTTAATCAATGGCACCCATCACCCAGTGCTGAGGATAATCCTTGTAGAGTTGAATGTAAATAGAGGGCACCCATCACCAAGTACCGAGGATAGTCCTCGCAGAGATGACTGTAATAGAGGGCACCCATCACCAAGTACCGAGGATAGTCCTCGCAGAGATGACTGTAATTAGAGGGCACCCATCACAAGTACCAAGGATAGTCCTCGCAGAGATGACTGTAATAGGGGCACCCATCACCAAGTACCGAGGATAATCCTTGTAGAGTTGAATGTAAATAGGGGGCACCCATCACCAAGTACTGAGGATAGTCCTTGCAGAGACCTAAGTGAAAAGGCTCCCTTCATCCGAAGACATTGGACTTGGGTCTGTGCCTGATGGGGCTCTTGAGCGCTCGGTCATCGTCCTCCTCGGGGTCCCTGGCGGTCAGGTTGCTATGGATGATCTGAGTCCTGAACCTGATCCTGTTCAGTCGGGGTTTCCCCCTGCTCCCCCCAGAACCCTTCCTGCTGATGTCGGCCCGGTAGCGCCCCCCTCCGTCCTGCTCATCCTCGGGGAGCTGGGCCAGCCTGTGTACGATGAGCTGGGACGGTAAGACCTTGGAGAGCCGCCATCGGCCCAATCCGGAGCTGCTCCCGTCCTCCTCGTCGTCCTCCCCGGGCCTCGGCATGGCCCCGATCAGAGCCTGTACATCCCGGGCAGTGTCGGGGCTCAGGTACTGCCAGGCTTTCCGCCCGCTGTAGTCCCGGACATCCACATCGGCGTCGTACGCCCCGACCAGCAGCTTGATGACGTCCAGGTGGCCGTGCATGGCGGCCAGGTGCAGCGGGGTGTACCCCCCGGAGGCCCGGCCGTTGATGTTGATGGGCAGGCGGTGGTGGCGGGCGTGTGTGAGAAGGGCGGCCAGGAGTTCATGCTGTCCGTGCTTGGCCGCCCAGTGCAGGCACGAGAAGCCGGTGATGAAGTCCCGCCGGGTGACGAGGCCGGGCTCCGCCATCAGCAGCTCCTGGAGACCGTCCCAGCGGGCCCGGCAGGAGCTCAGCATCCAGGCGTGTTCCAGGGGCTCCAGAGACACCGATCCGCCCCCCTCCTCCTCCTCATTACCGGACACCGACGACGAGCTATGCACAGACGAGCTGTCCGAGTCGCGGAGTCCGGCCCGGAGGAGGACCCCCCCTGCACCCCGCCTGACCTGGGGGGAGACCGGCTCCCGGGAGGGACCTCTGCGGCTGTTTCGGGGGGTCCTACCGCTCAGCGGGCACAAGTCCGCCTTCTTCGGGGTCTTTTCCCCGGCTTCTGGATCCTCCGTCACTGAGATCCGGGGGAGAACGGCCTGGGGGGACTCTTCTCCGGGACTGGAATCGGGGTACACCCCCTCACATGGCTCCGGGGGGCGCTCCTCATCTCCGGTGCCCGCTTCTGGTCTGTTCTCTTCTCCGGTTCCCGGTTCCTTCTCTTCTCCGGTGCCCGGTTCCTTCTCTTCTCCGGTGCCCGGTTCCTTCTCTTCTCCGGTGCCCGGTTCTGGTCTGTTCTCTTCCCCGGTACCCGGTGTGGTCTCCCCGGTGCCCGGTCTGTTTTCCTCCCCGGTGCCCGCTTCTGCTGTGTCCCCCTCCTCTGCACCTCCCTCGGCAGTAGACGGCGGTGTCTCCCCGGCCTTCTCTGCTGTTCTCCGGTACTTCTTCCTCAGACAGACGTACTTCACCCCGTCCTCGGCCCGCACACTGGCCACCTCATTCACAATATCTTTGAAGAGCTGGCGGGCGGCACTGCGGGCCTCACTGGAGGGCGGCTGGGTCAGCAAGGGCCGGAAATGCTCCACCAGCTGCTGGTTCGGTACCCGGCCCCCCTGCCCGGTCAAGAAGCTGATCACCGACTCTCGGCTCAGCTCGCTCATGACTGAGGTTTGGGGTTACAGGTGGCGGAGATCACATCGTTCCGACTCCGCCCTCCTGGGAGGTTCGGCAGGGGGGGAGGGCGAAGTCCGGGTTGTCATTAGTAACTAGGCCACTGTCGCCTAGCAACCGCCGCCAGCATCCTGTCCCTGGTACCCAGAGGAGTTACCACCTGATTGAGAAGAGAGGGGTGTGTTACAGTTCCAGGACGAGTCTCCTGAGGCGTAAGTGATGCGGCCAATCTGAGCGCACCCCTGTGTCTGTTGTGTGGTGCTCCGTCTGAGGTGTGTTGTTGATTACAGCTCAGTTATACACTCCTGCAAATCCCGGCCTTGTGACAGCGCAGTACAGAGAGGGGACACGGGATAGAAGTATTCCCTCGGCTGTACAACGGATACTATGCACGTGGGGAGATACAAAAGAATGACTTCTATTACTGTTCAAATCATAGGCTGCTTTCTGCGCATTTTTCAGACACCAAACCAGCTTTTTTTTTCCACTGGGGTAATTTAGCAATGGAAGCAGCTTATTTTATGCGCCCTGTAAATTGTCATTAGGAGGCAAAATGTTTTCTTTCATTTTGGATAGAGTAATAAAGGGTTATAACCCCTGTTAGTTTATATTTTGCCATCTGTGTCCCATTGCGGAGATTTCTCTTCACTTCCTGTCCCATAGCATAAACAGGAAGTGAGAGAAAATGCCTGCAAATTAAGGGAATTCATTGGGGACCCCCAGGTCACCAGAACGAGTGTCCCTATTGGAAGATTACTTTTCTGGGGACAACCCAAAATTTGTGATTTTCTTACACTTCACTTTTGATGATGATGGTAAACAGGACACATAGATAGTGAATCTCCATAATGGGGGCAGCAATAAAAACAACTAGAAAAGCTACAATTTCTGGGGAAATTGTGTGAAATGTTCTTACCTCCACCAGTAGTCTACAACTGGAGTGGGCAGAGTAAACTGGGTGGGTGGGCAGAGTAACTGTTGTGTGGTTGGAGTGGCTGGAGTAACTGTGAAAAGGTTGGACTGGGCAGAGTAACTTTATGGAGTGGGCAGTGTAACTGTGTGGAGTGCTTGGAGTGAGTAAAGATAGAAAACATTACACTAACCAATTGATTGATCAAATTTAAAAAGTGCACATGGCAAGCTTGATAGAGTGAGAAATGCATTTCAACTTTTAATTATTTATATAGCACATTTAATTGCAATGTTGTTGCCCAAAGTGCTTCACAGTTACATTAAAACATACATTTATATAAACATTAGCAGCATTATCACCTCAAATACTCTCTACTGTAGGAAAACTTATTTCCAAACCTTTAACCAGAAGCTGGCCAAACTGTCACGAATTCAAGAGTTAGATTTCAAATAGGGCAGAGAAGAGCGGTTAAAAACAAACTGCTCCAAATTGCTCACTTCACTGGCGTTTTCAAATGGTCGTAGTTTTAAAAACTATAAATCCTACAGCAAAGAGCTTTATATTGTGAGAATCACAAGACCCAGACCTACATTGTGATGCATAGTATGTCTCTGAAATATTAAAAATGAAGGCACAATCGCAGTTTAGAAATTGCCCTTCAAATTTGAGGTGGCTAGAGTGGAGTTTCAATGAATGTCAATGGGTGGCGTGAGTTGCAAACAAATGGTCATATTGTGAAAACTTTCAGGACTATGGCTTAGCCGTGGACATTTTTAGTGGCAGCAGGGATAGCTGAACGTTTTGATAAAAGATTTGTGAAGGTGGGCTTGAAAATGAGGGAGTGATGGCAGTTAGAAATCATGTCCTGATTTTTCAGCTCACACTCTAGCTTTTGTCAGCTCCCACTCTAGTTTTGAACATTCCGCCATTCATTCCTATGGGACCAATTTCACCACAAAAACGCCGATATTTTGTGAACCATTCGGCGAAACGTTCCACAAAGTAAAAGCACACCAATCGGGAACAATCCGCACGTTTCGGTATATTACTGTCTATGTAGTGTAAAAACTGTGGGAGGAGTTAGGGTGGTAAATTTGGCTATAATAATAAGAATATATATGTGAGATAACAGTAAGTGGTCTTGCCATGCAAGAACACTTAATAATAGGGGTTCTGATCCATCTCCACTCTGTCCAAAATAAAAAAAAAAGTTTTGCCTTTAGTTATATTTTAACTAAAGTCCATCTGGTCTGAGGTTACAGAAAGCAAAAGTGACCCTGTAGGTGCAAAGAAAGCCATCTCCAACAGGTATTGTATGTTCAGAATGTGCGGCTGCACAAGGGCCCCTCCTTTCCACTAAAGGTTCTGGATCCCCCTCCCCCATTATCATGTAGACCTGCATACTGTTCACACTTGTTTCAAAATGTGGCATTGGACACACTTTTTTTTACAGCACTCTGAATGCCAATCAAAGCACCCATCAATAAATAGAATGGTTACCCTACAGCCCTGTTCTCACTGTTGTGTTTGCTTTGCTTTGTTTCAAAAATTGTACCCCACGTTTCTTTCTTGGTGCTTCAAAGCATCTCCAAAGCCTCCATAGAAGTCTATAACAAAACTCACTAACTGCACCTGCAGCTTTTGAGAGGCTTTTATTCAGAGTGTACTGCGTGGATCGATGAGGTGAGCAGGGTCCAGACGAGCAGAGCAACTAGCAGATGACACACATGATGCACAACATGGGAATGCTCTAGCAGAAGGTGAGTGGGGACCGGAGAGAGAGGGTCTGAGCAGCAGAGAATCAGCAGACCTGGGGGAGCGGAGCAGGAGAAATTGGCAGATGTCACACGTGGTGCGCAGTATGGGAACACTATACCAGGAGGTGAGCGAGGACTGGAGAGAGAAGAGGTTCAGCAAACCGGAGGATCAGCAGAGCTCGGTATTACTACTGAATGAGGGATCAGCAGAGCTGGGGGTTTTTACTGAGTGGGGGATCAGCAGAGCAGGGGGTTACTAATTAATGGTGGGGTCAGCAAAGCTGGGGGTACTACTGAGTGGGGGATCATCAAAGATGGAGTTTACTGCTGGGTGAGGCATCAGCAGAGCTGGGGGTTACTACTGAGTGGGGAATCAGCAGACCTGGGGGTTACTACTGAGCATGAGTGGGGGATCAGCAGAGCTGGGGTTTTCTAATTAATGGGGGGGGGGACAGCAAAGCTGGGGGTACTACTGAGTGGGGGATCATCAAAGATGGAGTTTACTGCTGGGTGGGGCATCAGCAGAGCTGGGGGTTACTACTGCGTGGGGCATCAGCAGAGCTTAGTGTTACTTCTGAGCAAGGGATTAGTAGAGCTGGGGGTTACTAATGAGTGGGGAATCAGCAGACCTGGGGATTACTACTGACCATGAGTGGGGGATCACCAGAGCTGGGGATTTCTAATTAATGGGGGGGATCAGCAAAGCTGGGGGTACTGCTGAGTGGGGGATCATCAGAGATGGGGTTTACTGCTGGGTGGGGCATCAGCAGAGCTGGGGGTTACTACTGTGTGGGGCATCAGCAGAGCTTAGGGTTACTTCTGAGCAAGTGATAAGTAGAGCTGGGGGTTACTTCTGAGTGGGGAATCAGCAGACCTGGGGGTTACTACTGAGCATGAACGAAGGGATCAGCAGAGCTGGGGGTTACTAATTAATGGGGGGGTCAGCAAAGCCGGGGGTACTACTGAGTGGAGGATCATTGGAGCTGGGGGTTACTACTGAAAGGGAATGAGCAGAACTGGGGGTTACTACTGAGTGGGTTATCAGCAGAGCTGGGGGTTACTACTAAGTGGGGGGTAAGCAGAGCTGGGGGTTACTACTTAATGGGGGATCAGCAGAGCTGGGGGTTACTACTGAGTGGGATATCAGCAGAGCTAGGGGTACTACTGAGTAGGACATCAGCAGAGCTGGGGGTAATGTTGAGTGAGGAATATACTGAATGAGGGTACTAATCAGCTGGGGATCTTCTGAGTGGGGTACTAATGAGCTGGGGATCTGCTGAGCCTCAAAAGGACATAAATATACATATTGAAGCAGCAGGTGTTTAATGTGTGTTAACATCAAAGGAAGTGTAAACGAGCCCTTAGGGCAGGGTTTCTCAACCAGGGTTCCTCCAGAGGTTGCAAGGGGTTCCTTGAGCAATGAGCAATTTCTGCCTTTCTTATAATTTCCCACTGACACCAATGATCTTTTTAACTATCTGTAAGGGTGGTCATTCTTCCCAATGTCCACAAGTGTAAGTAGCATTCTTCCAATTGACATCACACTAATGTATCATGAGTTGTAGATATAGTCATTATTAGCAGGGGTTCCCTGAGACCGGAAAGTTATTTCAAGGGTTGCTCTGTGTTTAAAAGCTTGAGAAAGGCTGCCTTAGGGTGTACATAAACTTTAACAACAATGTCTGACCTTGCAGCCCATATTTACACAGCATGAAGGGGATACAATGCTTTTTCAAATGCCTAGGCGATTTTAACCACACAACTGAATACAATATTCCTTCAGCATGTGCCACTGATGAGCTCTTGGTGGCAATGCACACCAACCACTCCTCCTTGGGGCCTATGTGCATGAGGCCAAAAGGAGATCAATCCTATATGCTTTAATCCCTTGTTTTTCAACAGGGGTGTCATTTGCCATGGTGTCCTGGCCGCAGCATGGCAGTACTTGATGCTGATCCAGGGTAGGTGGCATGCAGGGCCACCTCTAGCATTCAGGAAAAGAAGGAAGTCCACCTCCTTCAGACCTGCTCCACCTCCCAGCTGTGGCTGGCTGCTTGAGCCATAAGGTAGGGTTCTGATGTTAAGAGCAATAGTGTGATGGGGGAATATTGATATAATGCAGGAACTGTGATGTGATGGGCTCTGATGTAATGGGGATACTTTGTCATGGGGTACCTTGATGAAATGGAGAGGTCTCATGTATGGGGGGACCTCTGACATGAGGGGGGAACCTAACGGACCTCTTATGGGATGGGAAGACCTCTGGTGTGATGGAAGGACATCTGATATTATGGGAGGACCGCTAATGTGAAGGGGGCCT